AGTTCAATGAGAAGTGTTGAACTAATAGCATTTAGACAAGATGTCATGTCTGCATCTTGTACTATGAATAACTAATATAAAGACAACAATATGTGATGTATTAATTATTGTAACTGTCCTACTAACCTGTTTTGAAACTGTCTCATTGCTATTCTTTTCTCAATAAAATTAATATAAACAATAAAAAATAAATAAAAAAGATGCAGTGGAGTTTTTATAACTAAAACTCAAATTAGTCTCAATGATTGAGACTACTTCTGCAGGAATGTCAGCATTTTGCTTTGAATTGACCTTGCAAGTCAGCTAACATCACGCAGTCAGAAGGCTTCTGTAAGGAAACTTCATCAGACATTTCTGTAACGAGGCCAGTAACATTTATAGTTGGTGCCTTGCAGCTCAAGTCTCAGCCTTCCCTGAGACTTCTCTTCAGGACTCTTAGCACACCACGATCCTTCTATTTTGCTAAATCCTGACGCTCTACTGTCCATGCTCTCAACAGTCTGTACTTACAGAAGTTACAACTAGTAGTTCTGTCATATCTGTTTTAGCTGTAATTCAAGGCAATAATCTCTAACATGAAATTTAACAAAAATATTATTTTTAAAGTGAAATCTGTTTTATTCTTTGTGTATGTTCAGTGAGTGCATTTTAAACAATTGATTTTCTTTCCATGAAAGTACTTTGATACATAAGTAGCCATTTAAAGGTGAAATACTGTTTTCTCATTTTTAACATCTCTGAAATCAGCAAAACTGATATAGGGCTGGCCAGATAGCTCAGCAGATTAAAGCACCTGCTTAGGGAGATGCAAGGACCTGTGGTTCTATCCCCAGCCTGCCATGCCCGCCCAGGGGCATGCTGAGATGGCCACTGAGACTGGGTGTGGTGGCACATGTCTGTAATCCCAGCGCTTAGGAAACTAAAAGACAGGAAGGATCACTACGAGTCCTATTTGTGTGGTGAGACCCTGGAGACCCTGTACTAAATACATAAAACAAAACCTCTCTGACATAATTGGCAGCATCTTTTTTTCTTTTCTAGTGATACATAAGATAATAGTATATCCCTCACACAAATAGCATCTTAGACTCAATCTTTCCTAGCTCTCAGAGGAAAAAGCAAAGGAAAGATACCATTCCTGACAGCAAAATAGCAATACATTTAAAAGCATACACTGAACATTTTAACTGGAGAATATGTTTAGTTTCTCCTGGCCTCACCTATGCAAAGACAATGTATTTCAATATACACACATATATCAGGCATAGTGGAGGACTCTTCTGATTTTCCCTTAACAATTTTAATACCTTTATAGATTTAAAGGTATCTTATAATTATTTTACATTTGTTCTACCTCCTTCTAAGTTACCTCCTTCTAAGTTAGATGGTATATAAGCTGATGTTCCCACTTCAAGTTCAGTTCCCACTCAAGGGGAACTAAAAATTATTTAGTGCTTTTTTCTATTTTTTATTCTTTATATTCTAAGTTGCCTGAAAAAATGGCATAAATATATGTAATAAGCCATATTTTTAAGTTTTTGAACAGAAAGAATTTAGTTTTCAACTAAGGATCCCAGAACAATTAGAATCTGAATCTAAAACCAAAAGCAAAACGGCAAAGACATGCCCTCCAAAAACAAATTCCTATTAGTAGTATTTTATCTCATGACACAAATAATCTCTTCTGTTAAATAAAATTTAACACACATACAGTGAGAGAAGGAAGAGAAGTAGATTCATTAATCTCATGATTTTTATTTGGCCAAATGAAAAGAGAGAAAAGAATTCTTCCACAGAATGTGATATCCCAAATCATCATTAATGAGCAGAAAGACCTTAAAAACAAAACTAAAAATAAAAATGTCCTTTCATAGAATCTTTCTTTGAAGAAATATTTACTTGAAATATAAATGCATTTTTATTTTATTTAAACTACAGTTTACTTGTTATTTGAACAGTGATTTTCCTTTCATCACTTACAAAAGAATGCAGAAAGAATGTTAATAATTAATTGCTTAGAAAACTCCATTCTATAAAATCTTAAAATGCATTAGTCCTCATGACTATAATGGAAACTAACCTAGAGTCAGTAGATTTCTGCAACTTTTCACCAAATTATTTTCTGAAAACTACCACTTCAAAAGACTAACAACATTCTTATAAATTTAATAGTGCACTGAAAATTTTGTTAGTGAAATACATGACATTAAAAATACCAGAAAAAGTTACCACTTTACATTCAGCAGAGAAAAAGAAATAGAGTCCCTAAGCAAAAACTCAATTACTCTCATTACTTTGTTGTACAACAAAAATTTTGAGAAAGTACTAATTTAATTAAGATGTGAAATCCTTAAAATACTCATAGATTCAATTAGCTCATGGATTAGGAAAGTTCGGATTTGCATGCATCCTTTCCTTATTATCTGCAAACTACAGACATAATGCATATTAATAATACAGAAGTATCTTTATTTTCATTTATCTTTACTTTCTCTTTCTCCTCTTTAAAATTCGTTCATTCTTATTTCAGGAAACCGTGACCTTTAGCATACAACTTAGAAATCTAGATAATATGATGGCCATCATGGAACATAATCACGTGCTATAGGATGAGTGGCTATTTACAAAATGATTGCTAGCATTTATAGGAGAACATGGAATTGAGACTTTACATTTCAGATAAACAACTCCAACTCAAATGACACTGACTAACTGCAAGCTTCTGGAAGTAACCCACCTGGGGCAGCATGCGATTTTCTTCCTCCAGCTGTCTTACTCTTGCCTCCAGCTGCCTAACATAGGACAAGGTTGATTCTAAAATTAAAAAGAAAGAACTCACATTATCCACACAGATCTTGTTTGGTGCACTGTCAGGATATTTTTTGTCTTATTTGTTCAAATCAAAATAAGCAACTACTTTGTCTATTACAAAAAAAGGAAAAAGATTCTTCCCAGAAAAGAACAGAAGCTGCTGAAGCGATAAGCAGTTTTAGACAATTACACAGTAATAAGAAGTATCAGAGACATTTTTAGATGAGATTCCAGGCTTTTACACATTAGCCAGCCCTCAGACCATTAGGCATCTCATGGATATTCTTCCCTGTTTTCTCATTTGCATTTTCAATTTGTCCCATACTTTACTCTTTTGGAATGTTTTCTCTAACCAGACTAAACTCTGGGGCCATAGTTCCCTTCATTTTTCTAATGACCATTTCAATTTTTTTCCCCCAGCATGTGCAAACATCATATCATCTCCTTAGTGGGAGAACCCAAAAGAGAAAAATGGAATTCGCAGGGTACAGTATACACTGGAAAAAGGGAATGAACTTATTCAAAAGGAAAGAGTTACTGAGTTGAAAAGGACAAGAGAGGGAGTGGGGGAAAGAGAGTTATCATATATGTAAGTAGGAGACCATTTCAATTTTTAAGAGCAATATTTTTTTACAAATCTATAGATACTAACTCCATAATTCAGAAAATAGTAATGACAGTGCTAAATATTGAGATCTTCATCTTGGATTTTTGCCTGAGTGTGACAGAAACCCAAGTTTGTCTCATATTTTTAGGTAAACCAGGGCAAATGCACTGAAATTATTATTGTGGATTCTTCACAAACTTAAATGATCAAAGGTCAGAATTGAATCTTGCATAGTTTCTGTATCTTTTTGTCAGAAAAAAACAGGTCACAGGTAGAAGGAAGCAGTTTCATTTTGGAGAGCAATCTGACAGTAACTCATCTTCATTAAAATGAACATATTTAAGTGCCTCCTATACTAACATAGCTGCAAGTCATTCATTTCAAGTGTAATAAAATGTACATTACAACAGAATCCCTCCTGGGTGTATGTCCACAGTTAGTATTAAAGCAGCAGAACCTCTCAGTGTCCATGTCCTTTGCCCTCAAAAATCACACACACACACACACCCCAAAAGCAGAAGAAAAGTAGCAGTATATTTAAAAAGCAAGTATTTGGAGCTTCTAGTAATCTGAAGTTATGATACTGACATAGTTTTAACACCTTGATCTGAAAGTCATCATGGAAATTCTATCATTAATTCTTTCCATAGGAGTTACCTATTTTAATTCCTGTTTTATGTATGCTTCCAAAGCACAACTTTCAAAGCAACAGACTAACATCTTACTTTCATATAAGAAGTGCCAGTCTTTCATTTACAAATGCAACAATTAAGCTCACTTCTGCCACAAGCACTGCACACAGACGAAGATTCGCAAAAAGCAGCCATCACCAACACTAAAATAGGGACACTGACCACATCCTGAAGGAGGGTTCTTCATAGAGGACACAGAAATGCAAGGTAAACAAAACCACAGACTTCTGCTAGAGATGTGCTTTTATTTCATCTTAATGAAATGAATGTTCCTTCATGGAATTTTCTAAAGGGGGTGAAAGAAAGTATCATCAACGAATAGCAAAATTATTGATTTCGTGAGGTTGCTTTACTGTACCAAATGAATAAGTGATTCGCAGATCATCAACATGTGAACCCAGACTGCCTGGGTGCAGGCCCAGATCTCCTTCTAGAGAACCATTTGCTGTGGACCATCCAAATGAAAAACTGATTGGCAATACTCTTTCAAACCATGAAACAATAAATATTTTTCTTTATTTATTATTTACAGCTTAACCTTATGGGCCCTAAAACACACTATGACCAAGGTTGTGATTCTTCAGTCAGTGAGAAAGACTATTCAGAGTGGTTTTGGCAATATTTGAAAAACCAATAAATAATCTTTTTTTTTAATTGAAATAAATATATGTCAGTTCAGAAAAAGGGAGGCAAATTCCAAAGTTTGGAAAACATCCTCTAACTCCCAATTTTAATGTTAATTATAAAGGATCAAGCCCAAATCTTTATTCCAAAATCTTTATGTAAATGTAGGCTGCAACAGGAGAGACAGGGAGCACTTTTTTTTTTTTTTAACTAGGAATAATCAATAATCTAACTAAGACCTTTGCTTGCCAGGCAGGCTCTGTGCTGCTAAGCTATATCCCCAGCATGTAAAGAAAGTTTGAGTTCCTCCCTTTAAAAAAATAGTTATCTTTTTACCGAGGCATTGATCTATGTTTGAAAGAAGAGAAGGCCAGTCACTGTCAACTCTTAAATTTCTCAGTATACAAATTCCCTTTTAGGATTATAAACATAAGTGCGGGCTTCCAGATGCCCCTCTTAATTATGCCAGGCTCAGCACCCCTGTTGCAATTACTGATCATTAATTATTAACGAATACCCTCAATGAAAAAAACTCTTTTTGGATGACAGAAAGAGGAAAAATAACTGATTACATGCGTATGTCAGAGTACTCACAATACTTACTGTTTTATTCAGTAAAAGAACTGGTCACATCGTCCTGCAATAGGAGTAGAGTAGGAAAACACTTTGCTAGAGTCTGGTATAAGAACAGCACAGGTCCCTGACTCACTCTGTGAAGAGGTACCGTGCTCTTAAGCACTTGGGATCTCAAGGGTTATTCTTTACTGCATAATAGGCCAGATGAGTCTGACTAGTAGTACACAAACAATAATGGAATAAAAATATATATAAACTATTTTTCTAAAGTAAAAAATAGGATTATTAGAAACTCTACTCTTCAAAATTAAGCCACCTTCTTCTATTAATTTGGTCATTAGAAAACAAATGATAGTATCCTCTTATGATGTTAAAAAAGAAATGGGGTCCCCTGGGCATTGGAATATTTGGCTGTGTCTGCTGTAACACCTTCCCCTCCTGTTTTGTCCTTTAACTTCCTGTGTCAAAGATGACAAGAGGGGCTGTTGTGCATTGACCTAAGAGACAAGTCCAGAAAAAGCTGGCAACTTTTTAAATCTCAAAATGATAGAGAAAACTATATTACTATGTGCTATGATTTGAAGTAACCAAGATATTTTATACCGAAGAATGATAGCTTCATAAAACTGTAATTTTAGAATATCGTTTTGAATTTCAGACTTTGAGATTAAAGCTCTAAAAGAACATAAAAATAGATATTTTGTTACAGACTTATAGATACATAATATATTAAAGAATGATTCTATAATTAAGAAAGCTAGGGCCAGGGAGATAGCTCAGTAGAATAAGCATTTGCCTGGCAAGCGCAAGGCCTGAGTTTAATCCCCGGTTCTGCAAAACAAAAAACAAAAAAGAACCGATCTTTTATAATTAAGAAAGCCATAGCAAATGGGTAGAAAGATAAGAGAAAAAAGTAAAACCAACAAGGCACTATGAAAGTCAGTACTAAATCATGTGAGACAAGAATAGAGAAAGAGCAACATGGACTTAAATTCATACAAATGGATCCACAGAATTCTGATAAACCAGACACATACAGAGGCCCAGACTGGACATTGGCAGAAGCTAGAAGCAAACCTTCTATGAACAGACAGGAGAGGAATCACACAACAGAAGAGCAGGAGACCTGCTGGGGTGGAGAAAAAACCAAAGCCAGGCTTTGCTCTATAGTAAACAATCTGGAAAACTCAACATCAAACCATAGTAATCCAGCAGATAATGTGCTTCTAATCTCTGCAAAATATGTTTATTTTCTTTCAATCCTGGGAGACCCAAATACACATACTGTGACAATTACATGATACATCAATTTGAACAGCAGCTAGAATTAAGGCATGCCTAGCAGCTTGGTAAAGCACCTGGGTGTGTTTGGGGATGACGGAGATACAAGCCAGCCAATGGAGGGGCCTGAATAGAATAACAAAGGAAGAATGGTTTCTCCTTTCTAAAGAGCACCAGTTGTTGCCATTGCCTTCAAAAGTGTGTCTGTGATTTCTTCAGCCTTCCACTGCAAACTCCCACTGGCAACTCTACCACTCATGATCTGCCAGACCTTCACCTCTAGACTGGGGCCACATTCTAGATCCTTCTGATTCAGTGGTTGCCATCTTCTTGGGCTGATTATTTTTTTGATACATTAGCTGTCTTGATAAATTTATCTACAAGCCCATTGTGAGATATCATGTTAATCACTTATTACATTCTGGGTGCTCTTCGCATATTACAGACACTCCAGTGACAATAATAAGGGATTTTCCTACTGGATCCTTTCACCTTCTAGCACAAAGGTGGCCATGGTGGACTCTCTTATCTCTGATCCTAGAAGGCAATCTAATAAATTTACTT